TTAATATACATTAAATATTTATCATTATATAAAAAAAATATTACTTCTATAAATGTGATAAATAATATTGAGATTATACGACAATAAATATTTGAATAAAATAATATTTGAGTATTTTGATAAACAAAATATGTAAATTATTATTTTTTTGTATTAAAAAATTAAATATATATGTTAAAATATAATTTATATTAATATAGATGGATTAATGGGCTAATACATTTTTCCAGTGCATCGCACGGGATTCTCGCTGGTTTTAAATTAATTACATTAATAAATAATATTAACACACATTAAATAATTTTCATAACATAAATAAAAAGAATAAGACTACTTCTATAATTTACATAAATAATATAGTTACACATCATATGGCATCAAATTTAGAATAAAATAATAATTTAGTACTATAGGGTGAACAATAATGAATCAAACTTTTTTTTTCTTATATTATGAAATAAATAATATATATTAACATAAACGTGTGAGCAAAATAATAAATTAATTAGATTACAAGTTAGCATAGCCCCATATTAAAGTTTAACATTTTGGTTAGAAGAAAATTAAAGGGAAATTTACATATTTCCAACCTTATTTATAAATATTTACAATTCTACCATGTAAATATAATTAATTATGTTTTTACTTAAAAGACCACATTTAATTACACTAATGCCTAAAAGGAGTTATCATATCCATTATACCTCAATCCCTTGATTTCCATTGCAGACCATATTTAACTACTACATCAATGCTTAAAAGGCAGTTACTATATTCATTTAAACCTAAAAAAAAAAATGAGTTCATTTTTTATCTTATATTTTTTGTTTTATCTTTGATAATTCATTAAATGGGTTTTTCACTTTTTTAATGGTATATATATAGTTTATTTTTATCGTTTTTTTAAATATTGCTCTTTTGAGAATATACCGAAAATATACTGAAAATATATTAACTATAAACCCTGAATAACCATACAAATAATGGTATTTAGAAAATATATAAAAAATATACTGAAATATACCAACAATATACTGAAAAATATACTAAAAATAACCCTGAATATACCGAAAATATACTAAAAATATACTAACTATATACTTACAATACAAACCGTAATCATGGTATATGTATTGTATATGTTTTTCATGATTTTACTATATATAAACCATACATATACTGATAATATATTGAATATAAACCATACATATAACAGGGGGAACGATACAAACACGATATAATATGAGGGAATAAAAATATACTCAATATAAAGAAGACAAGTTCAACATATACCGAAAATATACTGAAAAAAGGCTAATTCAACATATGACTCAATCAGAAACTCCAAAAAAAAAAAAAAAAAAAAAAANNAAAAAAAAAGTTCCAAAATCAAGAAACAAAATTTGCTCTATTTCTCCATAAAGAAGTATCACTGAAACTCCAAAAAGAAATATCAAGCAAAAAAAATTCTATTCAAAAGTCTGCGAATTTCAACAACGTACTAACTGATTTACACACAATCCAATACCCTAAAAATGAAGCAAAATTCAATTTTCCTATAACCAACCAATAACCAACCAATCATCTCCCTCGATCATGGAGTCGCTCAAACCCGCTTTAGAGGACGTCGACTGTAATTGAGGAAATCATCCTCCGAAAAATATTCCTCGCGATCGCCGGCTGGCTCGAGCCAGTTCGGTCCTTCATTGTGGTGATTTGCTTATCATCTGCAAAAATTAACCAAAAAAATTTGAGAACAAAGCCAAAAAAAAAAGGGCAGAATGTTAATGTAGGTCAATTTTAATGGTTTGTCTTCCATGAATGTTCGGCACCCATCAATGTTAATGCAAATTCCTCTAAAATATAAACAATGGTCCCATGAATGTGAGGCACCCTCAACCTAATTCATGTTGGCCCGAAATTGATTTCTAAACAGATTATGTGTATATTTCAATATATATGTGTGTATATAAACAATTTGCTACTTAGGATCATAGTTGTTGGTAGGTCAATTTCAATGGTTTGTCTGCCACTTTAACAATATTCGTGAACTGAAACCTAAAATCCTGGGCATAACCAACAAAACACAAATTATTGTGCATAACCGAGAAAAAAGGGAGAAGGTTAATAAGATCAGATCACGACAATTAGGTTCCCAAAATCTGAGTATTTAATCGTAATAAATTTGATATCCACTTCAAGAATCTCTAATCGACGAAAATAAGGGCGATTTAATCAATCGGTGCTGACCTTTTTCCATGAAGAAACCAGGTTTCTCGATGCCCAAGGCTAGGCCATTCAAGCTAGGGCCGAAAGCGACGGTGGCGTCGGTCATGGAGGCGCGGAGCTTGAAGTCTCCGGCGTTGACTGACACGGTAGCAGCGGCGGTGGGTTTATCGAAGTCATACCTAGTTGTGAACGACGCCTTCATCAATTAAGGATCTCATTCGTAAATTAAGGATCTCATTTGCATTTAATATGCCTGAAAATAAGGAATAACGGATTTATCCCAGTATCAAGTAAAATTGAAATATTTTTGGCTTGGTCAGGCAATTTTCTAAATAAAAATATAAGGAGCATGTAAGTGTAATTAAAATCATAATTGATGATAAAGAGTGTAAATCCCTCAAAATTAAAAGAGGAAATTGCACCCCATACTTCCTCTTCACTAATATATTATAAATTTACTACCATTACTTAAATATTTATATAATCACCAATTAAACCGTAAAATATTGCTAATCTACCTAAAAATGAGAAGTTGCATTTATATCAAATAATTAAGGACGCGATCCTCGGGAAATCGAAACCTCTTGCAGAAGGAAAAAAAAACTTCCGTCAATCAAAATCTCCCAAGATCCACGGAAGAAAACGGCGAACGAAGAAGAAGAAACACCCCAGATTGATAAAAAAAAATAATTTGAGATTGAAGCCGTGAAGCCGCTGCCGGAGAGCCGCTACCGGGAGATTGGAAGGGTGCTGACGCCGAGAGGTGGAGGAGAGGAGAATTCGGATCTTAAGACGGGGAGGGAGTATATTTATGAGAAGTTTGCGGGAGGTTGAAGAAGATGATTTCTGAGATTTTTTTTCGTTTCACTTATTTTGGAGTATATGTATAGTATATTTTCGGTTTTTTTTTTTTTTT